CTGCTCCTGCCCCGCCGTTTCTCCTGCAGCGATGAGCGCCCCCAGCTCGGAGCTGGAGCTGGAGCTGGAGCTGGAGCTGGAGCCGGGGGCAGGCGGCGGCGGGCAGACTCGGGCTTGGGAGGGTGGCGGGCAGAGGCGTGGGGACCACGCCGCCTCGGTTTCACGCTGCACGCAGGAAATGGGGCCGCTCCAGCGGGGGAGGGTGGGGAAGCTGGGGGCCGAGACGTGGTGAGGGTGGACGGACCGACACTGCCCGTGCAGGGACACGGCCCAGGACACGCAGGTGCGGGGAGGGCGAGGCGCTTTGTCACTGGGACAGCGCGTGTCCAGAGGCAGCTGGAAAAACGGGTTTGGGGGCAGGAGAGGCTCAGGCCTGAGCACTGTGCCCACTTGGTGGCCGGCTGTCCTGAGAGGGGACAGCTGAGGGATGCCAAGGGTGGACATCTGGAAACCGGAGGCCAGGAGCACAGATGGTGGCCAGGGGAGGAGGGAGGAGATGCAGGGGTGCGGTAGAGATGGAGATGGAAGAAGGGGAGGGGCGGCACCAGAGCCGAGCACTGTCGCGGGGTGGGAAGGAGCTGCCCCTCGGCTGGGCAGCGGGCGGACTGGGCTAGACGGCAGCGTGGGGTAAAACACGCTGCTCTGTGGAGCCGGCCACACGCGGAGGGCCCGGGTTCGTGTCCGGACTAGGGCATGCCAGGCACGTGTGTGCGCTGCGGCCCACGGCTGGGCGGTCTTTGTCTCCTTGGGCCTCTCTGGCTCACAGAAGAAATGAAGCAACTTTACGAGACATCCATGCTTGCTTAAAAACAAGAGGGAGGCCGTGGCCTTGCTGGCCAGAGCGGTCTGGGGAGCCTAGGAGCCAAGGCAGGAAGGGAGGGAGGAATGAGGTAGGAGCGAGGGCGGGGGGGGGGGGCAGGGACGGGGTGAAGGGACAGCAGGGAGGAGGCCTGGAGAGCAGGGGCAGAGCAGGAAGGAGGAGGAGAGAGGCGGACGGAGGTGGGCATGGCGGACCGACAGGTGGGAGGCGGGCACAGGTGACCCAGGAGCTGAGGACCCTCCGCCTGAACCATGGCTTCAGGGAGCTGGGCCAGGTTTCCCAGGGGAACAGATCGACCACAGGTGCCACCTCGGTCTGTGCCACGGTCCCCAAGTGACCGTCACATCCCAGCACGGGACTGATTGCACCAACTGGCACCAACTGCCAAAGCGATGGTGCAACAGACCGAGGTGGGCCCCGCAGGGAGACGTGGTGTCCCCGAGCGCAGCGGGGAGGCACCTGCACAGGAAGCCGGGCTTCGAAAAGCTGCCGGCACCCCGGCAGGGTGGAGGAGTGGGGGACAGCGCAGCCAGGCCCGGAGCGGAGCGTCCTCTCTCACGTGCCCTCTGGCATAAAAACAGAGTTATCCATTTCATCTGGGTGCAGAGGGAGGCCTGGCCCTGTCCCTGCGCTCCCCGACCACGGCTCTTGGAGGCAAGTGGGGTCACCTTGAGCCTCGGTCCCCTCCCTCCAAAACGAAGCGCAGCAGCGATCTGAGCCCGAGACCCACGGGCAGGCGAAGGACTTCGTGAGCCACAGCTGTGCTCGCGGGAGCCACTGCAGGCCCACACCCGGCCCCCTCGGGTGTCACTGGCTGCTGGCCCACGGGGGGCCCCCACTTACTTCACTCCCTCCCCAGCCCTGTAACCCAGTTTCCTCGGGAAAAGCAGAGCAAAGTGGAGGGGGCAAAGGCCACCCCTGTTCTGTCAGGACACAGGAAGAAGCACGAGTTGGCTGTGACTAAAAGGGACATGCCAGCGCACGTGTACTTGGCTGACCCTGTCCTGTGTCCGGGTGGATTTAAGGCGGGGACAAAACATGACGCTCTCAAGGCTGACCAGGGGAGGCTTTGGGTTCAGGTCTGGAGACCCCGAGTACGAGGGCTGGGGGGCTCCTTCCTCCTTCCTTTGGGTGTACCGGGGAGTCAGGCCTGCAGTGGGCCAGTGGGGGCGGCAGAGCAGTGAAGGGCAGGACCTCGGAAAGCGCACCCCGGGGGTTTCCACGGGGCCACCTTCCCTTCCGAGGGACGGAGGTCCACCCAAGGGCACCACCGGAGCCACCACTGCTCGCTGCTCGGTGGCCCCGACTCGCAGCTCCCCAGACGCCGGCTCCCCCCACCCGGGGCACTCCCG